TGGGGCTCCGCTGCCTCATTTGCATAGCCCCGCCCCTCCCCCGCCCCTCCCGCCCGCCGGGCCGCGGGTTCGAGCCCCTCCCCGCTCACCTCCGCTCCTGCCTTTTGTTGAGCCGCGCCGCGAGGGGACGACGCGGGGGGGATGGGGAGGGGGGGAGGTCGATCGGCGGGCCCCGAAGGCGCGGCCCGGCCCCGGGGGTACGGAGCCGAGCGGGCGGTGGGACGCCTTTGTGTGGCGGTACCGGGGTGCCCGGGCGCAGCGGGAGAGGCGCCGGGGCGGCGGCGGCGGGCGGCGGCGGCTCCGGCGCGGGGAGAAACCGCCCGCCACAAAGAGCAAAGAGCCCCCGGCAGCGCTCCCGCAGCCCCGCGCCGCGCCGCTCCCCGCACGCCCTGCCCTCGGCTCTCTCCGGTGTGCGTGCGGCGCTGCGTGTGCCTGCGCTTCGCATCAGCAGTGCAAATAATGCCCGAAACCCGACCCGGGGAGCTCCCGGCTCTGCAGGAATGTCGGAAAAGAGGCGGTGGTTCCCCCCCCACCCCCCCTTCCCGAGCCCCTTTCCCCAGGCCCGGACTAAGCACAAAGCCTTCCCCGCATTCCCCGGCTCCATTTCTTTCCTTGCAGGGCCACCGAGCCGTCACCTACCATCCCCACGTCCCCTCGGTCACCGCTCCGTAGGTGGTGACCCACATTTTGCAGCCAACAAAACTGGGGCAGCCGCTGCCACCGGCTGTGCTCAGCCCTCATCACTGCTCGCAGTGCTGGTGGGCTCCGGGTTGGGGGAGCTGAGGGTAGGAAAACCCCTACCAGCATGAGTCCCCATCGCCAGGACACAGCTTGCGCTCAGCTCCGCACCCTTGTGTGTCATTTAAACAAGGCACCAGAGCTGCTCTCCCCTTCTCTTCCTCCCCTGTGTAACCCAGAACTGCCTGACTGCTCGCCCAGGCAGCAGTATCTGTCCTGTGCAGCACAAGGAATGCAATTTGTGTAGGCTGTATGCCCCAAGTTGAGCAGGGGAGGCTCAGCAGGCTCCTGAGGTGCCCCAGCTCGGTGCTGTAGGGAGCAGGGTGCAGGGATGGGGACGCAGGGATGGGCGCAGTGATGGGGATGGAGAGACGCAGAGATGGATGCGTGGACAGGGATTTTCATCCCTGTCCTGGATAGGTGGAGGGATGGGGGTGCAGGGGTAGATGCAGGGGTTGGTGCAGGGATGGATGCAGGGAGCCAGGAGCAAGGCACACCCATGCAGAGCAGGAGAGAAGAGGCAAAAACCATAGGGTAAAGGCAGGATGGAGCCCTGGGATGCTTCCCTGATGGAACCCCATGCATGTTCGGGATAGCTGAGCCTTTGCCCCTCCAGCCAGGCTCTCAGATACTGGCTCAAATGGGACTTTATTATTGTAAGCGCCTGGAGACAACTCTGGCCAAGTTTCTGCCTGGGGACAAGCCAGAGCCAAGCTGTGCTACTGGGGCACCGCCTGCATGGCAAGGGGCTGGGGACCCAACACCCTGCCGCCACCCAGGGATGGGCAGTGTCCCTGCTGTGCCCCATCCCTCACTCCTCATGCTGAGACCCCCGAGCCCTGTGGCAGTGCCGGGAGGCTGGTGGCCGCCGTGATGGATGGCCAGCGCTTGCCAAGCGCGGCGTGTTTGGCCGACGCCGTGTTTGTCTTGGCAGGGGAGGGGATGTCATCTCCTCCACTCACAGGCTGACGAGCTGGGAAAGGCAGCGGGGGGCTGCCCGTGGGGCTGCCCTGATGGAGAGCAGCCCCGCGTGTCCCACAGGGCCGCCCTCAGGGCAGGGGCTGAGCGCAAGCTTGGTGTCACCTGCGGGAGATGAGGGTTTTTAGGATAACCTCCCTGTTTTCTGGGGCCACCAAAGGCTCTCAGGAGGCAGCCAGGCAGCGGAGATGGGGAGCTGCGAGATGCTGACGTGCCGTGTAAGTGGGTCAGTGGCACAGCTGTGGGCATCAGTGGGCACCAAAGGAGCTGGGGAGGACATGCAAGTGGCAGCAGGGATGGCTCAAGGGCTGCCAGAAACTGGGGCATCTCCATGCACGTGGGTCTGCAAAGGGAAGTTCTGCTGAGAGCTGTTTTGGGGCACGGGGTGAGATTAGGAGCAGTTCAGGGAGGTGTGGGGGTACGTCACCCAAAGCTGCCCTGGTGCTCGGTATGCATGCTGCCATGGGTGCTGCCTGCTGCTGACCCCTTTGTGCTCACCTGCAGGATGTTCTTGGCATCACAAGGCTCCTTGTTGCTTAGTTTCAGCAGGGGATCGAGGGGTTTCCCCCAGGACTTCTCCCCAGGACACCTCGAGGGATGCTGGCTGCTGTGCCCCAGAAGGATGCTTCATCCCTCTGCAGGACAATGAGGATGTACAGTCTTGGTGCAGACCCCCTGGCTGGGGTGGGAGGTTGGAGTTGGGGGCTGGGGGCTGTTTGAGCCCCCTCCCCACCCCCTGGCTCCCTGCTGCGCACGCCCTCCCCTCTCCCCATCCATTTCCCACCACAAAAATCCTGCAGAAGTAATGTTCCGCTCTGCAAAGCGGGTCGCCGTGGCAACCAGCACAGGGGTACAGGACCCCGTCCCCATCAGGCATGGACCCCACATCCCACAGCCCCCCGGGCTCTGTCTGAGGGGTGGGAGCCGTGTCCTTCCCCTGTCCCTGCCCAGGTTCAGAGCCACGCATGGCCTGGAGCTCTGCACCAGCTGGGGCAGGAAGGATGCTTTGAAAGCCCCCAGCCCCCCTGCCAACCTCCGCAGGGTAATTTCCATTTTCAAACCCCATTAAAAAGGAGCCTTTTTCCTCTTTGTTTCTCTTCTCCCTCTGTTCTTCCCCCCACCCTTTAGCTCTTTGTCAGCCAAAAATACTCAACCCACCAGGGAAGGCGAGCTGGGACCCACTGTGCTGCAGCCCCTCCGCATCCCCCCTGGTGCCAAGGGTGTGTGTGGGGATGGGATGGGGCTCGAGCTGCCCCGTTGGCTCGGGCTGAGGGTAAATGTCTGGAAGCACGAGCACAAATCAGGTTTGGGGCAGCAGGAGTGGCAAGGGATGGAGGATGTTGGGACGGGATGGAGGACGTAGGGCTGCTGGCAGCCTGTGTTGAGAGCAGGCGAGGGGTTCGCAGGCGGATGCGGCGTACCTGGTGTCATTGAGATCCTCTGTGCCACAGCGGCTGATGGAGGAGAAAAACAGCCCGGGGCGAATCATTCAGAGAGAGGCTGAGGGAGCAGAGAGCCAAAGGGAGATGAAACAGGGATGAATCACCGCAGCGGGCAGCACTCACCTGTGCCACGTGGCTGCCAATGTGCCGAGCTGCCCCGGGCACAAGTGGGCACACACAGCCTGCTGGGAGCTGCAGATCCACATCATCCAGCTCACGGCTTTGCAGAAAGGTCACGGGCCCCAGAGCTGGCGCCGTTTCGTTTTTTCCCACTGTCGGTGTGATCTGTGCAGAGACATGAGGTGGGAAAATGCCTCGGGTGCTGCTTAATAACCATTGCAGAGCTCTGCTCCAACACAGAGAATCAGGGTGAGGGGAGGCAGCGGGGCGTGCAGCTGGGGCTGGACAGACAGATGGATGGACAGACAGGTGGATGGCGGGCTGGTTGGCTGGCTGGCTGGACAGTGGAAGAATGGGCGGATGGATAGATGGACGGTTGGACGGCTGGCTGGCTGGTTGGATGGACGTGGTGTGGGAGGGACAATGGGCCAGGGACAGTGGATGGGGGACAGCATGTGAGTGGGGGCACATCTTGGGCGGGGGAGTGGGTGGATGGATGGACGGATGGATTGATGGATGGGTGGGCGGGTGGATGGAAATGTTGGAGCTTGAATATGGATGGATGGGTGGGTGGGTGGATGGGTGGGAATGGTGATTGAATATGGATGGATGAATGGATGATGAATGGGTAAATGCACGACTGGATGGATAGGTAGATGGACAGAAGGATGGATAGATGGACGGGTAGATGGGTCAGGGGATGGATGGATGGGTGGAGGGGAATGTGCCGGCATGCAGCAGATGGGTATCTGGGGCAGACAGACAGACAGACAGACCTTTGCCCCCTCTGCAGCTCCCTGGAATGGAGGTGCAGGGGGCTCTACAGGATGGGGCTCACCACAGGCAGGGAGCTCCTGGCACGGCACAGCCTGGGGGCACGGGGACCCGGTGGCGACAGCGAGGACATCCCGAGCGTCCTCCGTCCATGTGCCGGGGCAGGTGGCATCGGGTGTCTGCAGCTGTGAGGCCGCCTCTCATCTCTGTCCAGGCTGGGGCTCGCTTTCCCATCACCTGCTGCCCTCCCGGCCCCGGGCCAAGGGGCGGACGGGGGGGGGGGGGGTGTCAGCATGTGGGCCCTTGACTTGCAGCCCTCACATCTCACACGGCTGTGCGTGCTCCGCTGCCCGCACCCCAACCACCACTGCACCCCAACAACCATTGTGCCCCGTTCCCCGTTACACTCCCTGCAAATCCTCCCCTTGCCCATCGGTGCTGTAATTACCAGCGATTGCTGCAGGGGAAATGCCCGGGGAGCGTTCCCGCTGCAGGCAGGAGCCGTGACCCTCATTCCAATCTTCCCTTTGGGCAACAGAGCGGATGTGCCTGTGCAGACGCGTGTGGGTTTTTTTTGTGTGCGTGCGCATCGCTGTGCATTTTCAAGCCGGCTTTGCACGCCCGTGAGACTGCTGCAGCCCTTTGCCGAGATGCTGCTCAGCGTGCGCAGCCTAATGAGCCGGCACGGCGGAGTTAATTGAGGGGACTTGTCATTAAGGAAGCGCTGCAGCAGGTACAGCAGAGAGATGCTGCCTGCCTGTCCCCCCAGGCTGACAGCAGCCCTGCAGGGATGGTGACAGCCTGCATCCCACGGCTGATGGCATGTCCCTGTGATGGGGATGCAGCCGCAGGGCGCCCAGGAGCATCCTGCTTGGGAAGGATGGAGGTTGGGTCCCTGTTGTGCCAATTAAGTTTGGGATAATGATCATGGGCAGCGGGGACCATAAAATCCCCCCATACCCCAGCATCTGTGGGGCCAGGTGTCCTGCACAGGGACACTGGCTGGGTGCAGTGGGGTCCCCCAGTAAAGTGGGTATTTGGGGTCCCTTTGGTAGAGAAACCCCAGGAGTTGTGATACCACAGTGAGGGACATCAATTGGGCTGGCCTGTGGCTTTCAGCCCTAAGAATGCAACAGCGAAGCTATCGTTGTCATTTCTCCTGGAAACCAGTGGGACGGTGGCAGAGCTGCTCATGGGAACGCGAGGGGTGCATGGCAGCTTTGTGCCACCCCTTCTGGAGCCCACTAGGCTAGATATTTCCAGAGCCAGGGCTGTGGAGGGAGCAGGAGGTGCCTGAGGGAGACAGCAGCAAGCACACATCCATGGGATGAGATTCACCGTGCATCTTCCAGCCCATGCTGAGGTCACCGTGGTGCATCACCCGCAGCACAACCCGGCCTGTTCCAGGTGTGCTGAGCCCCCCATGAAGTGCCCACAGACCCCCTCAGCCAACCACCCATTGCTATGGGGTGTCATGAGGGTGGGGGTGACCTGTTCTGCCCCACCAGGTGAGCCTTTACTGTGAAAATTAATGGTGCAGGGGGTCTGGAGATGAAGGCACGGTTCATTCCCTCTTTACCCATCTCATCTTTGTGCACCCCCAGGCTGGCAGATGGGTGCCTCTCCACCTGCCTGCCCTCTCCCATCACCTCCCCCACCCCATCCCACCCCCCCTATAGCCCAGCTCAGTGCTCCTTATCTCCCAGTTCCCACCGTGCTGGCAGAGGAGCGAGGCCGGGCGCTGCATCCCCAGGGAATGGCAAAGCCGAGCGATAACGAAACCGCAGAGATGAGAAGAAATTACCTTGCCTGAATTTTAAAAACTTCATCCCTGGGTTGCCGTGGTAACCAGAAAGGTGCATCACGTTGCTGTGACAACCCCGAAACACCCAGGTTTTGCCTGGCGGGCTCAGAAGTGGTGGGTTTTTTGGGAGGGGTGGCGTGGGGGGCGGTGTTCGTCCTGGGCAGAAGCGTCACTGCACCCACAGCTTAGCCCCAGCGTCACACGCACCTCTCTAGTGCCTCAGGGAGGAATTTGGGGAGGGGGCTCCAAAGGCAGCCACATCCCAGGGGCGGTGGGGAGGTGGTCTTTGGCTACTCGTGTCTGCTGTGGGGCATGCAGTGCCACGGGCACAGGGCGCTCCGCTCGCGGGGGATGCGATGCACCTGGCTCGTGGCCCATGGGCAGCATTGTCTGAGCGCACGTAAAGCTGTGCCACGGAAATAGCCCCTGTGAAGCAGCAAATAGCAGGTGACTCACACAGAGGCAAAGGGTCCAAAATAGCCCCTCCGGAGCCGCCTAAAATTAGTCCGTGCCGGGAGGTCCCGGCTGGGTGTCCTTGCCAGGGCACACTGCTGGGGGTCCCGGAACCACACCGGGCACCCCAAAGTGTGCGTGGGGGGGCTTTGCAACGGCTCCCTAACCAGGATCCCACCTTGAGCAGGAGCTGCCCATCTCACAGCCAAGAGGAGGACGAGGCCGTGCCCCCTGCCCACAGGGCAGCCCACTGCACGCACCCTGCGCCGAGCGTGCCAAACCTGCTTAATTAGAGGAAGGGATGAATAATTCCTTTTTATAATGCAGCGCGGTGCGGCAGATGCCGTCTGCCTCGTCTGCGCGCGCCGCACGCGGGAGCCCGCGTTATTATGCTCTCAGCAGAGTTATTTATACACTGGGACATTTTTCAAAGCACCGCTTTGATGGTCTTCCACCAGCTCGGAAAAAAAAGTAGTCCATCCCAAAATAACCCGAGTGAAAGTCACAGCTCTTCATTACGCACATCTTCAACCGGGGGGCTCGAGAGGCAGAGAACAAAAAGCCGTCACATTCCTCCCATCAAATCCACCCTTTTCAAGTGCACTTCAAATGGGTTTGAGCGCGCCGTGCCGGCTCCCGGGCGCTAATGATGCTGGAGGCACGTCCCTATGGGGAGCCCAGGCAGGGTGCGTGTGGGATCGGGGCTGTAAGCTGCTTTGGGGTGCCCGAATGGGGGGAGCAGTTTCTCTCCCAGCACCAGGAGGGGAGCAAATCCCCAGTCATCTTTCTAAGGAACCCGGAGCAAAGCCTGGCCGCTGCTCCTCCGCTGCGCATGCGTGGCTCGCTCAGTTCTGGTTGCTGTTAAAGGGGGAGAGAGAAAAAAAAAGAAAAAAAAAAGCCGTTTTTGTAGGTGGTGACAAATTCCTGTGAAAACGCCTCTGACACGGAGCTGTCTCCCAGCCAAGGCCCCCCCCGGGGAGCAGCTCTGCCTGGCAGGGGGCCCAGGCACACAGCCCACTGCCCGCAGTCACATAGGGAGCACCACGAGCTGCACCTTGGGATTGGCACGCCGGGCTTGGCTCCCTGCACTCAATACCTTGGGCTGAGGTGTGGGCACCTGGTGGAAGAGGCGGTGTGGAATGGAGCAAGAGCCAGATCCCAGCACCCAGCTGCTTTTGGTTTCTACGCAGAACATTGGAGCCCCCCTCCCCAACCCCCTGGGCGGGAAATTGCATGCACATTGCTGCACGTGGTAGGGCAATTAGAAGCAGATTTCTTTCCACTTGAGTGGGGAAATCCAGAGCAGGCGATTCCCAAGCCCAGCCATGACAGTTGCACGCAACCTCCTCCCTACCAGCCCAGGTGGGGAAACTGAGGCACAGGCAGAGTAGTGGGCACCTGTGGCTGCATTGTGGTGGTGCCTGGGTGGTAAGGGGTAGAGGATTCTATAAGAGGAATGCGTGAAGCTATCTGGGAGACGTGGAGCTGCAGAGAGAAACACGGAGCAGAGAGTAGGCAGGGAGGCCACAGCTGTGCTACAGCATGCTAAAGGCAGCTCCAGGCTGGGCTGAGCCGTGCCAGGGGTCACAAACAGCAGTGATTAACAAGCACTCCACGGTGAGTCTGAGTGTGCAAATGACTTGGCCGCACTCCTCACCTCAATGAGCACACAGGGCCGTGAGGCTGGCAGGAGAGCCCAGGCACACCGAGCTCTGCAACGCTCACATCAGTCACAATGAACCATGGCCAGAAAAGGCCCTGGGCAAGGAG